TCAGAGTTGGTGTGAGTTAAACATTAATTATAAGAGTAATTTATTTACAACAGAAACAGTGTATACAGTCATATCAGCGTCTCTGTGATTCTGTATTATACTAACGTCCGCATGAAGCATACTCACAATGACCATGCTAACACGCTGACGTTCTTCAGGTATAATATTTTCAATGTTCCCTATCTTAGTTTAGCATGTTGGCATGCAAACACTTCTACAGCTAAGACTGATGGGATGTCATGTCACTTGGAACATGAATAAAAGTATTGGATAAAGTCAAATTTTGACCTTATGGTGGCGCTGGATGAAAAGTCAGAGGGACAGTAAAGGTTGAGGTTAACATGAATGTCTGAACCAAAGTTCATGGCAGTCCATCCAGTAGATGTTGAGATATTTCAGTGAAAATGTGTAAAATGTAGGGCCCTCAAAATCATGGGATGGCCAAAGTCATTAGGCTTCATCTTCTGGGCACCATGAAGATCTGTCCAAAATGTCACGCCCTTTAATCCAGTAGGTTTCAAGACGTGTAATTAAATGGCAAAAATGTCAACTTCATGTTGGCACTAGTGGAAATGTCATTGGATCGCCAATTTCATTAGGATTTATCGTCTGGGAAACATTTTCTGGCAATTCATCAAATACTGTATATGTGAGATATTTCAGCCTGGACCAAAGCGGTGGAACAGTGCTACCAACAGAAACAGAGTGAAAATAAAGGCGGAAGATTGTAGAAATGAAGGGAAACACAAGGACAAAAAAATAGGGCAAGAAGAAACAGGAGAGAAGATCTAGGGAGGAAGGATGGTAAGAAAGAGGGGAGAAGGAAATCTAGGAAATAAAGGAAGGACGGAAGGCAGGCCAGGGAAAAGGGAAGTAATAATCCATGTTTTCCTGCTCTTTCCAATTAAACTCTGGAGCTACAGATAAATATAAACACACATGCAGTCTCTCTCTTTGTCTCTCTCACACACATACAGACACTTTGAGCTCTATCTCCAAACTGCACATTGTCACGACACTGGCGGCGCCCGGCAAACAGCAGTTACAGGGACGTCTGCCAGGCAGCGGCTGGTATCGGAGATAAGGCGTGTTTTAGGATCGCCATGGCAACAGCACAGAGCACTGCTGCCCTGTGGCTGGTGGGAATACGAACGAGGAGCCTCCATTAAAACACACTCAGCTGTAAAAACATTCAGACCAAAGCTGCTCTGTGAAACCACTTTGGAGCAGCTGAGGGTTCAGTGCGTCGCTCAGGGACTGTGGAAACAACCCAGACGGCCGCAACTTACCTGTCTGTCGTAGTTGATCTGGTTTCCTGCTCGATATCGGAGTCGAGCTCCGGGACATCCGACACGTCGCTGTCCGACTCCTCCCCGTTGGAGTCTCCATGACTTTCTACAGAGGAGACGCAGAAGACAAACGTGCTCTGTTTAACTCAACTGTCATCTAAACCAGAGTTTTCAAAGCAGGAGGCTCAGTGAATGGAAGTGAAAAAAATATTCCATCAGTTATCAAAAAGGAGCTCACATGCCTAAACAGCCTAAATGTGTGTGATTTGGTTAAACAGTTCAGAGATACAGTAGTTTTGGGGAAGTTTGCTGTCTTTTCCAGAGTCAGACTAAAACTAATAAATGCCTTAGGACAGACCTTTTTTGTGTCGGCTATTCGGTGAAGTCTGAATATACTGTATGTTACCGTAGCCATTTAACAAACTGTTAAATGGCTACGGGATCAAATAGCATGATAACAATCCCAGTAATCCATGAAATCGAGCAAAACTAAGCAACTAAACTGGGAGGAAGGGTTAGCCTTTTTCCAAGCTTTGTCTGAGGGGGGGCCCACAGTCTCAGACTTTGAAAACACCTGATCTAAACCCCTGATTTGGTGAATGGGGCGATCTATGTTAAACCCCATTATGAACCTCTAGAACCACGTAGGTCTCTAGAGGTAAATCTCACAAGGATTTCTGAAATTTAAAGAAAAAGAAAATTGGGAACCATCTGCAGTACCTTTGTAACTCTTGACTCTGAAGCGTCAATAAAAGTGAGCCATTTTCCAATTATGAAAACCTCTGAAGCCTTGAGAAAACCTGAAATCACATCCATAACACATGGGAACTGTCACATGACCACTAAGGGCTACTCAAGAAACTTTGGAACCACTTTTGGACCACTGGGACTTTCAAAAGACCCCTAAATGCTACTCCACAAACTTTAAAGTAGGCCCCAATATGAGCCTACTTTAAAGTTTCATGATATCTGCTACAGTCTACTCAAGACAACTTGGAACCACTGATGGGACCCGTGTCACTCTCATGAACACCTCTACAGCCTACAAAAAAAGGGAGCGTAAACCCTGATGAGACCCATGGACCAACAGCCCAACATTCACAAAAGTTTACCCCCAAAAACTCTGGACCACTTCCAGGACACCTAAAACTCCCACTTAGACACTCAAAGCCTACTCAAGAAAATCTGAAACCAATCCAGGACGTTTGCAGGCAGGACTTGACGCTTCTGATTCGACTAAGTAAATCCTTAATCGTGGACAGCCCTATAGATTTGGTAAGGTCTGTTCAAGGCAACCTGAAGAGCCTTGAAACTTTCATAAGACTTCCAAAGCCTACTTAAATCATTGTCCACTTCAAAGACACGCAGAGAACCCCTAAAGAATACTAAAGAAAACCTGGAACCAAATTGAGAAGAACTGTTTGCTTCTCCTGTATTGTAAAGTACTCTTACTCTATTTTGTTCTTCACTGTAACAAGATTTTATACACAACTCTGCCTTGTTTCCCTACCTTGTATGTTGATATCCAGTCCTCCGTTCATGACCGACTCTGGTAGAAACCTCCACTGGAAGAGGGCGTGGTCTGCCCCACCTGTGGTCAGCACCCACTGCAGGTCATGTGACCAGCGGACGTTGGTCACATGGGCTGAGTGACCAATGTACTTCTTGAATTTGGCTCCTTGAAGAAAACAAGATGGCTCCCGGTTAACCACAGAGAGAGAGAAAGTATAAAAGACACAAAAAAGAAAGAAAGATAGAGACCTTTCCTCAGACAGGGGAAGCGGTAGAGCTTAACCAGGCCGAGGCCGTCTCCGGTAACGAGCACGGCAGCAGCGTTATTGGCGTCCACAGCGTTGATCTCAGTTAGATTAGAGTATTTAGGCCAGATGCCGCTGACTTCTGAGCCCAGGACGCCACTCCAGGATGCCCAGCACTGACCTTTCACCTCCTCCTTACTGACAACTGGCTTCCCCACTGCAGGAGAAGGAGGAAAAGTGTGTGAATGGCAGCTCTCAAAGAAATACCATGCATTAGCATGCACCGGTTTATCTCTCTGTAGATGCTAATGATAACAAAACAGCCTATTTGCACATTTTATCAATAAAAATCACTTGAAAGAGACTGAAGAGAGAAATAGAAATGTGTGGATGGTGCAGATTTTAATTGTCCAAGCTGAAATGTGTTCTGAATCCAGTCGCAGAGCTGGTTTCTTTTGTTGGACGTTTTGTGAATGAAATCTTGTGTGGAGACAATGATAGTTTATTACATCAGCACCACACACACAGTCTCCTGCAGTCTTGTTTTATTCTTCCTTCCTTCCTTTGAATGTCCTTCAATCGTTCTCTTTCTTTTCCTTTTCTGTCCTGACATTTAAAATCATAAACTGGCATTTCTTCTGCAATAACACCTCTCTGGGGTAGACCCAGAATACGCTGGAGCGATTATATATCTCATCAGGATCACCTAGGAAGAGCTGGAAAATGTTGCTGTGGAGAAGGACATCAGGACTAACTTGCATAGCCTGCTGCTACCGCCGCTACCCAGCAACAGATAAGTGGCAGAAAATCAATGGATGGATGGATTTTTTTCTGCAAAAGCCAATTAATGAATTTATATTGCATACGACTTACAATTCATCCTCAGCACTCGTCCTTTAATTATAGTTTATTTCTGTTTACGATTTTTTTAATAATTGATTCTGTATAATGTATATTATCTGCTATGTAGCAGAAGGGAGTTACAAAACACAGTTTCACTCTATAACTTGTTATATTGTCATAATAAACCTACCTACCTACAATATGCAATTATAAATAATTCATTTACCTGTCTTTAAAGTAGGTAATGCAGCAGGTAACCCAGTGTAATTTTATGTTGTTGATATCAACCTCGCTGTTTACTATTCACTCGCCTGCTTACTGCTAATGCTACCACAACATTTCCCACAAGTCTTCACCTGGATGTACAAAGGGATGGATTATATTGTGAAGCAGCCACAGTGTATTTGTCAGTAATGTTGGCACTGACCGTGATCGTTCATCAAAAGGCGTCGACAAAGCAAGATAACATGTTCTTTTCTGTCAGCGGATGACTTATAAATGTGTTGGGGAGTAATGGAAAAGTCAGCAGCAGCCACATTCGATGGAGAGCCGCAGGCGACAGGCTGCAAACCTCCAACTCGTCAGCAACATAAGCATCCCCTTTCACTGTGTGGAAAAGTACTGGTGCAGCGTGCAGCATGAAATCAGATGGAGGATGCTCTGCGCATGATGGTAAAACTATTGACTGAATTCTCTATTAAAACAGCAAATACAATTTAGCTGCAGAAGGAGTGTTTGCTGCCCTCAGAACTTGTCGTCACCACGGTAACCAGAGGGATCGCCAACCAGGACAGGAAAGGATTTCAACATTTCCATAAGTCCGTCTTAAAATATCTGATGTCGCAGTCAGCCTCTTCCCTCCGTCTGCTTCTTTTCTGTCTTTTCACATCACTGTGTCAGGTGTGTGTGTTTGTCGCCTCCTTTCTCAGGTACACTGGAGAAATACGAGTAGGGTAACATGGGGTAAGACGCCCCCCCCACGGAAATTCTAACTAAAACATAAAATGTCACAACATCTCTAACAGCTTCAATATCAGAAAGTCTGAGGTAAATTCTGAGGTTATAAGCTCACATATGCTGACATTTCTAGCTAGCTGGCATGCACATATTTTACCTCAGACTTTCTGCAACTTCACTAGTTAAATAAAAAATATAAATAAATAAATTATCAGAAACATAAGGCAAGGCAAGTTTATTTCTACAACATGGTCTATAATCCTCTTGCTTTTAACCAGCAACTTAGAGTTTATTAAATCTGTAATTTGCACATATTAAAGTGATCTTACCCCATGCGGAAAATGCCTTTTCCATAAAAAATACATTTGATTAAATACCAATTAACTTCTCAAGTGTAGGTATTTATTTTACTTTATATTATGTTACCCTAAGCATGGCTGTCCCTATAAAAACCCTATAAAATATTATTTTATGTGTCAGCAAATAGACATTGAGCTGAGGGGGGGACGTCTTACCCCACACTACCCTTTATTCACTTTATGAATACATGCATGAATCTGACTGGGTGTGCGTGTTCACTTGTACATAACAGTGTATCTTGGAATCATTACACACTCTCCAAAAGATGACTTGGGATCGAAGAGGGGATTTTTTTCAGGTCCACTCTCGGACATCAAGCCCAACTGATATTTAGAAACTCTCTGGAATTTCTTTAAATATTGACAGGAATGGACCTACAGGTGTGTGAGGCTGGAGCTGGGATATAAACGACTCACTAAAGGCAGGAGTGCACTCGAAACAAACTTTCATTGTCAGGACTGTCTAGTTAATTTCAACGCATTTGTGATGCGGTTGGCTTTATTTCATTTTAATATTTAAAAACATATGATAATGTCACGAGGCCCCAGCTTGGTGAGCTTGGTGTGTTTTTGTTTGTCTGTCTCTGCTTGTCTCTCTCTCTGCCACAGAAAACCACCGTCAAGCCTCAGCAAGCCGCCAGCCAGAAAGCTCTCTGTTCCGCCCGCAGCCTGGTCATTCCCCCGTTCCCAGTCCGCCAGCTGCAACCTCGGGTTTCCCCTTTCCCAGGATCAGGAAGGGAGCCTCTCCCTCAAACCCCTAACTAAACCTCTTTTGAATAAACTGTCTTTTACTTAGATCTGTGTTTGGGTCTGACAGATACTATGTTTCTTATTGGTGAAACATATAACTTCCAGTGATCCACATTATTCTTTAGGCGCATGGGCTGCTCTCACGGCACAATATTAAAATATAAATCTCATAAGCTTAAAACATTTCTTGTAAAATTGCGACTTCATCTCATAACATTAAGACTTTTCCTTCAAATTAACAACATTTTGTGAGAATAATTAATTTTACTAATATTCTTATTAAAACGTAGTTTCTGAATGAGTTAATGCCTTTAAGTACAGCATGTAATTGTACTCTGACATCAGGTATCATCATATACTGTAAAAAGGAAAATAATGCAGCTCTAGTTTCTAAGAAATTCCTTACAATTTGAGCGACTATAGGCTGAACGCTGAATCTGCAGAGACTCACTAGGCATTCGGTAGAAGAGGCGTTCTCCAGCTCCGTCGTTGGTCTGCAGGATTTTGCCGTCCAGAGACCAGTCTAGGTGTGTGATGAAACTGGAGGATTTGCTGCACTCTCCCACCTGCAGACAGACAGAGGAAATGATCCGTCAGACTGTGAGAGTTTCTATACATAGATAGTTCATCTAAATCGTCCATCTTTACCTTTTTGAATCTCTGGGCGACAGCGTAGATGTCCACAAGTCCGTCGTTGGAGCCGACAGCGAGGTACGCTCCATCCGGAGAAAACTTCATCTCGTGGATCACCTCCTTCCTGTCTTTGATGTGAACCACCTCGGTCATGTCTCTAAAACAGACAGAGAGAAAAACACCTGGTTCATTCCACCTTACAACAAAGCCGTATTAGATTCAATTCAATTTGTTTGTCTCAGAAAACTGTTGAATTGTTAGTGTGTGTGTCACCTGACTCTCAGCACAGTGAAGGATCCGTCCTTCATGCCCAGAGCCAGCTGGTATCCGTCCACACTGAACGCCACGCTGCGCACCGCCTCCTCCATGTTACAGCGGGCAATGAGGGCGTGATCCACCAGACTCCACAACCTGATACACACACACAGTCAGACTTAAGCCTAGCTACACAATTAATTAATAAATCCCTGTTAACTTTACCATAGCCTGACCTTTTAAGAACCTGTAAAGAGAAAGTTATTGAGTCTGCCCTGTTTTCCATTGTGCTCTACACACCAAGTGGCCATTTTCACAAAAATCTAAAAGTAGCTCCTGACTGGCCGACTTAGAGGAGAAAAAGTGACGACCTGATTTTAAAGTTTAAAGTTTTTTGTCTAAGAGTAAGCAGGGACAAAAACATGGGGGCTGCCTTAGTTCGGGTGTGTTGCTTAAGGTAGCGATGGCACATGAAATGCAATCCAGGTAGTTCATCTCTAGACTTATCAGACGCCAACACACTGCACAACAGCTTGTAATACAGGGTTTTACAGCTATTTTATCATTGGCCAGCGATTCGTGAGGACAATACTGAATTGTGTGCTTGCATTGTGTGTACTTGATTGGCTAATTGCAGAGCTTTGCAGGATGACATTGGATTGTGAGAGCGCAGTGTTTTTCACGCAAGTCGGTTTGAATGTGACCTAATTTTTTTTTGTCTTTTTGGTGGTATAAGTCTGTTAAAAATCAGAGGACCAGTCCAGAGGAATCCTGAGTCTCAGTGAGTCAGCTGCTGCAGGTAGTGAGCCTCGCTGACTCAGCGTTTTGAAACATGAATGGTGATATCATCCGTGACAACATGGTCAACTCAGCCTCTTCTCTTGGCTCTCAGTTCCTCAGTAAAAGTTGCTTTCAGCAGCTTTGTGAACAGGTCTGAATCAGAAACGTAGCTGGAGCCTTTAGCGCAATTTAGGAGAACTCCTAGTGGTAAAATATGTCTCCAGAACTTTTTGGAGATGCGCCATTAAAAAGACAACACCAGGACAAATGTCGTTATAGGTCTGTATCTCTGTCATTATGTGATCTCTTGCTTCATAACAAATTTCCCCGTGTGGGACAATAAAGAAACTTGATCTCGACTTTCAGGCCACCTCTAAAGCAGGTCCAGTAGACTTATATCATTTTGAAATCTGCTAAACGGAAAGCCTGACGAACGAGACAAAGGGTCAATTAAATAAAATATATATGAAAAAGGGAACCAACCAGCTGCAGGAGCGGCATGAAGTGCGTCGACAGCAACCATGTCAGCATCTTTTTTTGTCCTTACTGCTGTTGTTTCCATTTTCACCTGTGTGCAGCTGACTGTGTGTGTTTATCTCATTATATAATATGTAATTGGTCTCTGAGGAACCTCCTGCTGCTGACAGAAAACAGCGCGCAGATGCTGGAGATGAGCAGAAGCACAGTAGAAATCAACTCCCTCTGTCATTATCTATCACAGGGACGCTCACGAACAAGGCGATTCCTCCAGTGGAGCGGGTACAGTCCACCTGTTGCAGCCTGTGGTTGTACTGGGAGCCTCCCAGTACATTAATGTGTAAGGAGGTTAAATTGTTGTTCCTGTGCTGACCTGACGGAGCGGTCGTCGCTGCCGGTGACTGCCAGAGGCTTTTTGGGGTGAACGTCCAGCGCCCAGAGCTCACCCTCGCTGTGTCCCTGCATGATCAGCAGCGGCTTGTCCCGATCCCTCACCATCACCTGGACAGACGCGAACAGACACAAGTTAAAACTGAGCCTAAACTTTTCAACATTAAATCAGACTGAAACATAGCATAATTGCGCCTGTCTCCTAAAACAGGTCCTGGGTTCAACTCCCAGCGGAGCCTTGTTGATGCAGAAATCAAGTGATTTGTGTTTAATCATCTTCTGTAGTGTGGACTAGTTCTTCACACCCTGGCTCGCTGTGGCAAACAAATATATATGGCAGAACAGTCCAGCGGTTCAAATTTATGGGGTGGTGATGGAGCAGTGGATAATAAGACACATGCCTTTGGTGTGAGAGATCTTGGTTCAATACCTCACTGTGACACATCCACTAATGTGTCCCTGAGCAAGACACTTAACCCCTAGTTGCTCCCGAGGCGTGTGATCTCTGACACATACTGTAAGTCAGCTTAATGTAATGTGGTAATTGCATCTTCCAGTACGATGACTGCTGGTAAATATGTCTTCGTTAAAACCAGCCTAATTTAGATGGCTAGGTTCAGTGTGTAGCTGTAGGTGCGTGAGTACTTAGCTACACTAAAATGAAGCCTCAGCTTTAACCTGCAAGTCTAAATGGTCAACTGGTCTGTAAATAAGAGTACCAGGAATGGTTTTTAAGGAAATGCATGCTTTCTTTGAGAGGGTGAGACGACTGATGTCAATCTCATGTGAGTGTTCAGTACACAGCTGGAGTCACAAGGAAATGCATCTGTCCGGAGCTTAGCCAATCAAATCTGTGCATTCCGATAAGCACTGCCAAGGAGACGAAGAGGAGAGACTTCACATGGCTTTTAACCCAGAATTACATGTAGGCCTACAGTACATTTTTCCCACGGGCAGTTCAAAACCAGAATATCTCATATATCACCAATCCTAGCCAGAGCTCACGTTTCTCACTGAACAAGAGGAAGTAGGGAAGTGGTAGCTATATAAGGACGAATGAAAGTGAAGAGGAGGCATTAAAGCTTTTTGTTAAGATGTGTTGAGTGTTAATTATAATTTTAATTTTAATTGAATACCCCTGCTTTAGTCAGTCACTGCACATGGCGGTCATTACTGAAAGCTCTGTGTCTCATGATTATTTTACTAATACATTCTTTACATATGGGCTTTTAGGTTTCATATGAATGTCACTGAATGGTATCTATAAACTTGTATTACTGGTTTTAGTGAGGTAAAGCATGTGAGGAGCCAGAGTTCAACAGGCATTGCTTACTGGACCAAAATAAAACTCTTCTGAAAAATCGTCTCTGCAGGGAGGAACAGCATGAAGCCGGGTGTCTGTTTCCTATCCTTTTTCTCACCTCAAAGATCTCGCTGTCCTGCGTTCCTGCCAGGATTCGGTCGGCTCGCCAGCAGACGCTACGAATAGACAGACCTGGAGGAGGAAGGAGGAGGAGGAGGATTAAATCAGCCGTAAAAAAAAAAAAACTGTCAAAATCTCTGAAGAAACAACAGAACACTGTAACAAAAAGCCACAGTAAACAACAGGCTTTAAGATGACAGACCGGAAAAAAGAGAGGAAGAGAAAGAAAGACAGGAGATAGGGAGGTTAAGAAAGAAGAGAGAAAGATGGGGAGAAAAACAGTCTTGGAAAGAAAGAAGAAGAAAGTGATTAAAGGAAAAGAAATAAAAGGTGGTGGTGGAAGAAATTAGTGAGAAAAGATGGTTGAAAGGAAATACTCAGTAAAGGATGAGGAAATGCAGAAAAATAGTTCGTGGAGAGAGATGAAAAAAGCAGGAAGAAGGTGATAATATAGAGCAGCGGATAAAGAAAGAGAGAAAGTTGTATTGTTGAGAGGTAAAGAAAAAACTCCAACGGCAGGAAACCAGAGAAAAGGGAGAGGCGGCGTCAGATCGATGAGTATTGATGAGGAGGTTTTTCTCATTCGACCTCTCAGCTCTCATCAACTCCAGTTAATGAGCAGGAAACGATATTCCCTCTTTTTGTTTCCTCAGACTGCAGTGGAGGGAGAGTAACACAAAGAGGCCATTTCTCTGAGACTTTTAGGTGTTTTTGCACAGAGCCAGGACTGTGGAAAGTAGAAATACCACAGTCTATAAATACTCTGTTAAAAGTAAAAGTCCTGCATTCAAAATCTTACTAAAGCAAAAGACAAAAGTATTAGCAAAATAATGTAAATTATATTATGGGACTAAAATTATTGAGTTATTAATGTGTTCATCACTTCAGTGTAGCAGCCAGTAAAGGTGCTGCTGGGTGGCTTAATCTATAAAAATACACCACCACTAATTAGCTGATTTATATTCTGTTTTAATAATCTAAATCTACAAATTAAATGGCAATTAAATCTATTAAATAATATAGTGGAGTAAAGGCAGACTGACTCATTGCTAGAGGAAAGATTTTAACGTTTGTCAGAGGAGGAAGCTACACGCACACACTTTTCTCAGTACCTTCCAGCCTCACCGTCAAACTCCTGTTCCCCGGCATCTGAAATTTAATTAGCAGAGCCGTTCAGCAGCGCAGCGCTCGCCTATTAGAGCGTCTGCTGTGGCATGAATCAGCGTGTGATGTTTCCTGTAACTTTGTTAGAAACTCTTCCCTGGAGGTTCATGAGCCGAAGTAACCTGATACCGGAGGAGTTTAAGAGGCAAATTGGAAATAATTGGGAAACACTTTTTGCACCGTAAGAATGGCTCAGGAAGGTTTTTCTGAAATGTCATCTCAGAAGTGTTTATAGCAGCCAGAAGGCAGCAGATAGGAAATCCTCACCTTAACAAATCACTTCTAAACCGCCCAGAGGAAAGAACTGGGATAAAAAAAAAAGATCATGCCTTCCTCTCATTTCATTTTGACATTGTTTGACACTGTGCTCCTCAGAGGCTTTCAGGCTCTGAGGAGCCAATGATCTGTCAGCAGTGCGGGAGTGCAGCCAGAAACAAATGACAAATTATACTTTTCTTGTTTCTGACAGTGAATACAGGTATGCATTTCCATGTGAAAGGCTTCAGAAGAGGAATTCAGATATCAGTCATCAAAATTAATCCTTTTTTACCCAATAAAAAAAACACACATTTCTTAGTTCATTCAGGCTCTAACAGCAATAGAAACAGAGCTTTTTAAATCTGAGGCTCTACAAAGCAGTAGAGATGTTCATTTATGGTAAAAGTAGACTTGTCCATTAAAGCGGATCTCTTTTTATGGACAAAAGCAACATGTAACACAAATAAGGATAATTAAATTTTGTTAAAAGGCCAGAATAATCTTCTGTGAGTTTTTTTAGGTGATTTTTCCAGTTTGTGGCTGTTCAAATCAACTATAAACCCCTTTTGATTGGTCAGACAACGCATCTTACAAACTAGTTCTTTGCAGCATAAGCCCTTACCTTCTCCACATGGAGCTTGTTTCCATTTCCCTACACCGCAGAAATGTTAAGGGAGGAGAAGAAAATGGCCCCTAAGCCTTAAGCCCTGAACCCTCACAGACTTTACTGACGTCACTCGACAGAGCGCAAGAGGCTGTAAGGGCTCAAAATGCACAAATCTGTCCAAAACAACGCCGTTGTCAGAGACCCACCTTCAAAAAAGTTATTAGCAAGCATGTAAGGAGCCTAGCCAATAAGGATGGCTAAGGTAACGTTAGAATACAGCTGTCGAAGTTAGCACGCTGTACATAGCTGGTACTCAGTAGGTGCACTTGAGATGAGTTAGGTGAGCTGCAGGCGACTTTAAACAGCGCCGTCAAGTCAGCCACAATCTGCCTCCGGTAGGCTTTGTGAGCTTACTGTGAGCTTAGAACAATGATCAGGCAAAAAGGTGTTTCACACTTTGTGCAGCCAGAGAAAAGCAACTGCGTGCACCGGTGTTTTGCCAAATTCTGCATGCCTGCGGAGAATTGCACGCACCTCGCGTGTGGTAACGCTCCTACGCTGAGAAAAGAGGTGGAAAGCAAATCTCGGCAGGTAGCCTACAACATCTGTTCTGCAGAATTATGCATCCATCTGTTTAGGACCTTTTCAGACACTTTGCTGTGCTCATTGTTTAAATGTTTAAGTCGTTGCTAAATCTCAAGGAATGCATACTTCTGCTAATTGTAATAAAATATTAACGACTCTAAACGTTCATGAAATATATACATTTATCACCACTGATGAACCCCACAAACGATTTTATAGTGTTTAAAAGCAGTAGATCTATTTGGAAGTGCATGCAATTCTCACCAGGCATGCAAAATTCGGGATAACACCTGACTCGGCGCCTGCCACTGCTTTGCTCCCGCCAGCTCATGTCATGTCATGGGGATATGGCATCATAATGACATTTTGCAGCGCTGGTAAAAGTCGACTGCACCCCCATTCCTGCATTCCTCATTCTGTGGGAAACACTGTATTAATATTCAAAAGCATAAGTGTAAGCAGTAAACATAAAGTACAGCAGAAGCTGATGGGAATTTCATTAATTCGGCAGATGTTTGTCCATAATCCAAAGTACTGGACACATTCAAATGTTGACCTGATGGTGGCGCTACATGCAAAGTCAGAGGATCACTCAAGTCAGTAGGATTCATCCTCTGGGAACCATGAATGTCTGTACAAAAGTTGATGGCAATCCATCAAATATCATTCAAGTCTGGATCAAAGTGGTGGACCAACAGACCCTTAGAGCCACAGCACCAGCATGGCTGATAACAGGACAAATCACACCTTCCGTTATGATCCGGCTGAGTGTCTGTGGGCGTGGCACTCCTGGCACTCTTCCCTAAGCTCCAATCGTCTAATCACCGGTGGCTCGTCTACACGACGGCCAATCCATAATCAAGACCTCCAGTATTTCAACACCGGCTCAACACTCCATTCCTCGCCAGATAGTCTGTTCACATCAGTGGTACACACAGCATGGCCTCACCTTGGATACTGTCATTAAGTCACTTGTTTGCTCTGCTCCTGACTCCTGTCTTTTTTCTCGTCTGTGTCATAGTTTTTGGTTCCTTAGTGAGGAGTTTTCCGTTTGCCTGCTTTGTTCCACGAGCACTCTGTCTCTGCTGCCTGCCTGCCCGCTCTGAGGACTCTCCACCAGGACATCTTTGTTGCACATTTTTTGAGCCTGTCAATAAAATTTTTTCACTTCTTCTCCAGTTTCAGTGTCCCTTATTGATTCCTCTGTTCCTACTGGCCACCACTGTCATACATTCTTAATGTTGTAAAAACTGAACACCTTTACTGTCCTTAAAGCTTGTTACAAAGGAAGCCACGTCCTGCAGAGAAGTAACATTTACCTTCTGCACTTCGAGAGGTGGAGGCGTTGTCCTTCCACTCCAACTTCTCCAAAATGAGAAATTTCCAACTCTGACGGGGAACAGAGACGACAGAACCTTTGCCTCAATCCTTTCATTTTTCTATTCTAACTTTCTCCCCACAAATCTTCAGAGAGGAGCCACAAAAAGGAGGCCGGGGGCTTAATGGTTCACCCCACAGCATTTTCTAAAGTAATGCATCTCCATCTCCTGCTGGGGAACGACATTTAGGAGTAAAAAGGAAGAGAGGGCTTTAAACATTCACCACCTCTGGGTTTTCCCCCCAAATCAGGTCATCCCTTCGCCCACTGAAGACAGTAGAAGACAAACTTTTACACCTCTGCTCTCCTTGTTACTGAAACACTTTCAGAAAAGAGAGACAGAAAATCAGGTCATCTTATCTCTAACTAAAGACCGAAGATGACAATTAAACTTCTCTTTAAACATCTTCACAGGGAACTGAGAGGGACTGAAATGGAGGTGAAGAATTCAAGCTTTCAGCCTCCTCTGCATGTTTTTAAAAGGAGGACTAAGACAAAGACGAGACTGAGGCGTCACAACCTTCAACTTACAAAAGAGTCTTCGATTTCAAAATGCCCTTTTCTCTCGTCTTTATTCTGTTCTCCAGGAGACAGACTGGAGGTGACGTGCAGAGTTTGCCTTTAGAAAAGAGATATTTAAACTTAAAAAGTGTGTTTATTCAGGTTAAATGATGTTTAAAGAAAAGATTTACGTAAGTAGCCAGTCAGAGTGGCTAGCGCTCTCATTAACAGGAGACATACAGGTTTAAAGGTCTCACACACACTCAAAAGATGTCTTCCTTCTTTCAGTAGATGGCTAAATAACTTTTAACCCCATATCCGGATGGGTCAAAAACTGTTTCTCCCCTGTGAAACAAAAAGTCAACATGGACGGCTGTGGCTCAGGATGTAGAGCGGGTTGTGGTTCAGTCCCCGGCTCCTCCAGTTTGCATGTCCTTGGGCCCCAAATTGCCCCTGGTGGCTGTTTGAATATGAACGTGTGTGAATGTTGGAGCTTGGTGAATGCGATGTAGTGTAAAAGCGCTTTGATTGGTCGCAAAGATTAGAAAGACGCTACACAAATACGAAGCATTTACATTTAACATTGATTCTAGTTATGTAAGTTACGTAATGTAAGTCACAGTAACAGGTTATTTAAACCCAAACCATGACATCTTCCTGAACTTCACTAAGACGTTTTGTTGCCTAACCAAACTGAGACATTTCACAACATTAACCACTAGTTATATTTTGAAAACTGGACGTTGCATATGTATTGGTGCTAACTGTCCAGTGAAGCCCTGCACGTGCAAAAACAACGCTAAAGGGCACCCAGGGCGTTAAAAAGCGAAGCCAAGGCTCTTTATGACAAGAATGAGAATGACAATTGACAATTCAGTAGTCGCTGGATATTGGTAAAGACATGTCCCTACTAAATTCTACGGCCTTTACTGGACGTATGCCTGCAGGAATTAGTAACATCACAACTGTTTAGGAGCCAGTCGTGGTCCAGTATGCAACATTCAGCTTGATAATGGGAACTTAAAGCCTCCAGGTCACAAACACAGATCTATACAGATGTAGACAGCTGGAGGCATTCAAGGACTCTTAGCTTTGCTCACTATGCTAACATTACTTGTAAATAATCAGAGCCAGCGGAGAGCGTTACCCATGATCCTGGGGCGAGTTCAATCTCAAAACGTTTTGCATCGGTTTACAACATTTCGGACTGAACGACATTTCCTTGCAACGTTGCGCAACGTTCTGCTTCGGGCTTTGAACTATGTTTTCTCCTGTTTGGTGGGTGTGTCACAGGTGTTACCCAATCAGCTGTGACAAGCAAACACAACGGTGTTAAAAAGGCAGGAAAATTCAGTGCGCTTGTGTACACAGCAGGGTGTTCAGGGAACCACCGTTTCCGTTGAAAAAAATGTTTTGCTATGTTTTGTCTGCGCTGAACTCAGCCCTGGTTTTGCACATCATTGTGGCCCTTTGAGAGTCTTCTAAAGCCAGGCTGATGTTGACGCTATGTCATGTTTAGTCTGATTGTATTTTGCTTCGTTTGGTACCTTTGTATCCCTGCTCGGCCTCCCGCAGGTCGATCTTGGTTATCGGTCTGAAGTCAACGTCCCACAGCCGGACACAGCCGTCTCTGCCTCCTGTGGCAAAACCCTCCTCACAGGAATACATGCTGAAGATACCAGCCTGTGCACACACACACACACACACACACGTATGTTCACACAGCTATCATCTACGCCAATGTTTTTACCAATTTGGGTTGTTAATGGATGGTACCCAAGCTAATATTTTGGATCAAAGCTTTGTTTTTCTTATTCTTTTAGTAAATTTACTCCATATTCATGTATACCTCCAGTGTTTTAAAATTCAAAAACATGTGTGACATTTCCGAGGATTCAATTCCTAGTTTGATCTGATCAATTTTGAAGATCTGCTGTCTTTCTAGGGCTGGACAATATAGGTCAAAAATGTTATCATGATATCTTCAGATATCGATAATTATCACGATGTATCGAAGTATCAAATTGTTATTTCTTTTGTGTTTAAAGGCTGATTTTTGCTCCTGAGTGAAAGTTGAAGAAACCAGATGGTTAATTGTGGTTTAACTCTTCTTTATAGTCAACTCTTGATGCCAAACACTGGATCACTTCACAAATCTGAGGAAGACCTTTCAAAACAATTATGATAAATTCTTTGTCAACAAATTTGGACTAGTAAAATTAAGTAAAAGCTTTTTTCAGTCCTTTTTACCCAACAAATTTATAGAATATTTACTGAACATTTGTTATATTGTTATTGAAAAAAATAATATATCGTTATAATTATTGTTATTGTTTCATTGTCCTATGTCTTTCTGTTTTGTCCTATGTGACAGTAAATCATTTCTTATGGGGATTGGACCAAACAAAATAAAAACATGTACATTAACAGAAAAACTCTGATATTGCTGAAACATAGCAGACAAGATAAGGAAAATATGACTTAAAATAAAAACAATCAGTCAGCAGGTAAGAGACTCACCCCATGGGCAGACTGAACTGTTTTTATCAGGTTGAGTCCCTTCCAGACGTAAATGTCCCCGTTGAGCGCCCCGGAGTATGTGATATCATCTTTGGCTGAGGCGACGCACAGGATGGTCTGCAAGTCACCCGTCTTCCCGAAAATCCCCCGCTTTGGAGTGAGAGAGTTACCACACAGAGACCAGAACTACAAAGAGAGACGGCACAGTTAGTTGGTGAAGTGATAACGTTACAACTTTGCACCAGATAACGTTAGCAACTGCTCGGTGTTAGCCTGCGAGCTAACGTGACTTTCTCTGTGTTTCTCCAGCTTTACTAATGCTCACTGTGTTCTTACTTGATATCATCTGAACCTGTTTGGTCTTCAGCACATAAGCCTTTATTGTTGTTTTGTATCCTTACATAGAGCCTGTGTTTTGCTGTGAGCCGGTTGTTTTATGGTGTTAGTGGACTGCATGTCGTTAGCTGCTGTGTTGGCGCTGTAGCACAAGAGAGGCTCGGGAGCGCGCACAGGGCTGAATCTGACCCAGAGACCTCACATTAATAAAAGCAGTATAGTGGCTGATGCAACAACAGAGAAAACAGGCGTGTGCTTCATTTCTAAGTGGGTTTTGAGCCCATTGACAATAAGGCAATGAAAATTTGATTTATTTATAATTAATTTCATTGACAAACATATAGCTATACATTAATACTTTTTGTTGGTTTTCTTCATTCATTAAATCCTATAAATCCTATAAGATAATGCTCTACATAGTGGTTAGTCTCTAATGTGTTAATGATAAGTACTAACTCATAACCATTCATGCATCAACCTTGTTTTAGTGTCCCGGTCCATCCAGGCTGTGATTGGTCAGTTTACGAAAAGTGACATTGACCACTGCAACAACTTTATATAAAGTTGAATATGTTTCAACAAAAGGTTCCTGATAAGGTTCCCTAAGCTCCTTATATTCACGTTAGAATCCCCGGATACTTTCTGTTCTGTCTACTTTATGTCACACAAGCGATCAGCAGCTGGTAGGATTTTACTTTTGAAGCTTTGTGGTGTCGTCATCATCGGACTCTGTTCGTGTTCTCTTTCTACCTTTTGCAGCCAGGCCTTTTAAGGTTCATGTTAGCCTAGCCGCCAACAGAGAAAAGCAGGCAAGCGAGAGCGGAAACGTGAGCATAACGTAGCGCCCCCTGGGTAATACAGTTTATTTAGGGCCATTATGAATCGCCCAGAGAACCTGATATGGAGAGGACAGAAAAGAGTCCCGGCAGCTTGTGAGAAGTGACGGCATGCAAGATAAAGTCACAGTAAACCACAGAGAAAAATATAGAAGTATCGGGCCACTTCCAGCACTGCACACGTGATATTCACATTCTGCTTTAATGGAAGTTTTACTTCACGTTGTCTATTATTCGGTTAAGTACAGTGGATTTCTTTTGCAATTGAGCGTATTACATGACAACTTGAACCATGAGAAACGTAAGAATCAACATCCCTAGTGTGTTTACTAATTTGTGTTATTACCTTGATGTGTTTGACTCCACAGCTCACTAGGCGGTTCTGTTGAAACAAATCCCAGCAGATATCGAAGATCTGGAGGGAAGAAGAGAAGTTGGCATACACATGCACTTTACGTAGCCCAACACACACACACACACTCAATCTGTCTCTTTCTCTCACCCTGTCTGAGTGTCCGGTGGCTGTAGCCAGGATCTTCCCTCTCTTCCACTCCCAGATGCATACTGTGTTTTTGGCATCCAGGCCGACCGAGGCTAACCGCTACAGACCAGAGAGAGAAACGATTACTATTATAAATGGAAAGACCCATCAAAACATGAATATAAAAAGGCTATTTTCTACAGTAGAACAGATATACATTAGGATTTTTTTTATTCCTTTGGGAAGTCACTATGGTAATGAAGAGCATAACCAAGTGCTTTGAGCTGCTTAAACAGATCCATAAAAATTTAATCATGCACAAGTTGCTGCAAGTGGATACAGAAATAAATATTAAAGTTCAGTCAGGACCACTTTAATCAAACAAACTTTCATTTAATCTGCAGTAAGTCATGTTTTGCAGTATGTTTCTGTTCTGGGACATCTCTGCCCTCTACGTGCGTACTTGAAATACCTAAGAGAGAGAGCAACAGCAAAGATCATCCCAGAACAGTTCAGGCATCAATGACAACAGAAATGACATTGATTAGTCAGAAACAGCAGCAGAGGAACACCCGGTGACAAACTGCTGGAAACTGAAGTCTAGCTCGAGGACAGTACTCGTTCTGAAATCTCGTGAGAGGCGAGTTGTTGCAGGAAACGCCGCTGGAAACGAGGGAGAGGAGTTTGTTGTGTATGTAAAGGAGCTGCTAGCAAGACTTTTAATTCCAAACGTTACTCCAACACAACAAACTCCTCTCTCCAACTCTGACTCAAGTTTCCACCAGCGTCTTCCTGCAACAACTCGCTGACTCTCATGAGCTTTCAGAAGGAGAATTGTCCTTGATTATCTGTTTTTTTAGATTGATGTTGGTGGCAAAAAGAAGCACTTTTTGTGGATTTAATGATGAAGGCAATTGCCTCGAAGGAATAAGCTGCAGCCGCTGCCGGCTGAAGCCATCTACTGCACGGATTCCAAAACTTTTTGTAGCTGGGATTGTGGGCTGAGTTTGATTTTGTTGCCTCCCTTAACTAACGCTTTGCTAGATTTTCCTTGTTATGTTAATAAAAAATGCAATCCACATTACATTAAATTTTCTGCAAAGCCCAATTGCACTGTAAAAACAAAAAGGCAACAAACTTCAATCCACTTTTGGGTTTGGTGGTTTAAATATTATCTTCTTTTAGTTTAGGCTTCAACTTTTGTATCCACAGATCATGGATCAGAAATGAGCTTCGATGTCATCTTTTTCCTGTCCGGTCCTGTTCCTGATAAAAAAAAATCTTAAAATAGTGTTTATTTATAGTAGAACTGCATATTCATCTATAACAACTGCTCCTGTTGACTTTTATTCCAGCCCCATCCCAGTCCCGTGATGAATAGTGAAACTGACTGAATCCATCCTCTTCCACAACTCCCATGTTATTTTTTATTTCAGATGGCATTCTGTTGAATAAGATCAAGTTAACAGCATGTTCTGCATCTTCTTTTCTCACGTGAAGTCAAAGTCGGACCAAATCAGAACTTTTGTGGCTGATGCTCACCTTTGAATCTGAATTTTCTGAACGGCAGCAGTGCAGCAGTGGTATAGAAAACATCACATAAAGTGTTCCAGGTTAAGAAGAATATTCGGACTCCGACTTAATAATAAATCAGCTGCACCAAAGCCCTTGATTTATTATTAAGTTGGATTTATGATTATTTTATAGATTCTGTGTTGACTCTGATTTACTCAGAGTTGTTAAGTCATGGTGACTGAAGTCCTGGCCAGCAACAAAAACTGCCGACACAACAGGATGGATCATTTACAGAGTCACTTCACCACTTAGTCTGATTTTCTTTCATTTGTTTTTAACAGTTGGGCAGAAAGGAATAAGTCCTGAGAATCATCAATAAACAAAACTCCATGTATTTTACTTCCAACTCTCTAGCACAGCAATGACCCCAACAGTCATTTCAAATCTGCTTTTGCATATTCTGCAAATACTGATGTAAAGTTCACTTTGCTGAAGCTAATTTTGTTGGATAACTTTGAATACTATTTTTATGCTAACAAAAGCTAAATAAGAGATAAGTTGCTAAAACGGTGGTGTCCCGTGTTCAAGTCTGACGTTTTGTGACTTTGTTGCTCTATAAAAACATCACCTGACTTCCTCCTTTGTTCCCGTCATAATTGCTTTGGCTGTCAGCGGGCTCAGTCACTTGAACGTTAACATTTGTCGTATTTGATTAACTTGCTGATGACTGATGCTGTGGGTTTTTTCTCAGGAGGACCGACTTGTTTGTATAAGTGAAGTTGTATGTGAATGTAACAGGAGGATTTGAACACACAAGGCTTTGCCAGACAAGATTTACAGTCGGGGAATTTAGCTGACAGAGCAACTTACAATGAAAAGATGGAGAAATCTCCTGGATACCTACATTAAAAGGAGGAAGGAGGATAAATCCACAAAGAATGCACAGGCAGGAGGAAAGCCAAAACAGCAGCAGAAACATATGAGCTCACTGGCTTTCCTTGTGAAATGCACCGAGCCCCAGAAGTATTATAAGCTGACCATTATACACTGTAAGCCTTGTATTAAATGCCGTGTACCACATATTCAGAATATTCTGCATTTTCTTTAGGCTGCTATTCACTGTGAATGGGACCTGGCGTTGCAGCCCGGTGTCACCCGCTGAGATTTAAAAGGAGCCCAGCGGCACTACAGGGGAAAGTTGAGAAAAACTCATGCTAACGTCCTCTTACAAAGTGTGAGTGACAACTAGGCGAGAGCCAATCAAGCTTGTTTGCATGCAGAAACAGATGCACCGATTTGTTTACTACTAAGTGCAGTTACACGACTCTGGGTGCAATCTATAATGTTTTGGGGCTTCCAGTGTTGCTGTTATCTGGATATCCGGGCCAAGACAGATATCTGTTTATACAGATTACAGGACTGCAGTGCCAGTCGTGTTGCCAGCTCAGCCTTTATTGTCGTATTAAAACAGTTTCAATAACGCATACTGCAAACAAAGCTATTCTGTATTTGAAGAAACTGTTCAACAGGAAATGAGCATTTAAATTACATGTTCAGCACAACTCACACAGCGAGCTTCACGAGAGGCCAAAGACCGACAACTACTTTGTATTTGTGTGTGTGAAGGCAGCTGAAAACACTGAGAGACTCAGGAAAACTCATTTACTCAGAGTGCCGCCCACTCACAGCCAGAGTCGACTTGTTTATAATACCGCTCTCTGATGACTGAACTGTGTTTCATTTTCACAGGTTGACTGACGTGGGAGAAACGTGGGAGATGGAGGGAGTGGTTTCTTGGTGATCAGTAGATTGAACACCTGTCTAAAAACAACTGAACTGATGATACATGTTTTGAGTATATGCTGTCTGTCACACTGCTGTCAGATGAGATGCCTCCAGTAAACTCACTGTGACTCAAAGTACGTTCGTTGGATGACGTTTACACCAGATGAACTGAGTCACAGTAGAGAGTCAGTGGGAGGACATGATGGAGCCACACACAATATAAATCAGCCAGAACACTGCAGGTGACTGTGTGATGGAAATATTTGCACAAGCTCAATTTGGTCTGCACAGGCTGCACACACACACACACACACCAATGACTGCTTCAATTTAACCAAGTGAATTTACCACATACCAGGGATCTAAGCTCAAATAAAGTTACTTTATACAAATACATTAATACACTACACTAATACTACTTCCTACATTAATCTGATCAGATGACAACTTCACAGACAGCAAAGTAACAATTAAATTACCTGACAGTGCAAACACAACATTAAAAACTGTTATTTTTTTCCTTAGGTTTGTTTGTACTACACTGACCCCATATCTTACCCTGCCAATTAAACACACTAATAATTCTCATTATATCCTGTTTTACATTGCTATATTAAAACGCACAGCTAGTGGCCGTTCAGGTACACCGGGCATGTGTGTGCTGGTGTAAACATGAAGCAGATGGTCTACTCCATAGTTACAGAAGATCTGGCGAAAGAATAAAGTGCTACAGACGAAGAACCGCACCAGATTTATTTTGCATGGACCAATAACGAGCTGGGACTGAATGTAACACGGGAGTTAAAATCGGCTTTGGCGGCAGAAAACAGACTGGGAGTCGTTGCAAAGTAAACAGCAACATACACAGTACAAGTGTAGGCTATAAGTGTTTGTTTGCACGGCACAAAATATTTTAATAAAAGTACCAAATCAAAATCTCTGTCAGTAGCATCCTGTTTCTACTTTGCATGACTTATTAGACCCAATCAGAAAGCCAAACGTGAGCGTCTGTGCCATCATTTCTAAAGTCCTCCGTTTTTGCCCGTCCGCACGAAAACGCTCTCCAGTGTTTTAAAACGAAAAACGGGGCCGGCAGCGTTTCCAAACTTCTCCGTTTTAGGTCTTCATTTTCGCCATTTTAGTCTGGACGGGAGGTGCAAACGTAGCAAAAGGTCCCCGTTTTAAAATGAAAACGCAGTAGTGTGGACGGGGCTCCAGTCTTTCACTCTGCCCAACACCATGCTACTAGTGATGTGCGGATCGATCCTAAATTATCGATATTTCTGATATCAACGTTTCCTGCTCTAGGATTGATACTCATATAAAAGGATCGATATCTAAACTCAGTCATTTGAAGTGAGTGTGTGTTTTATCATAAGTATCTCAATGTCACCAGGATGGTCTAATTTTAGGCTACTCGGTTGATAGGAACTACTTCTCCTTCCGCCTGTCAAAGTCATGCTCGCGCTACAGCTCTGTGACGGAGCTTCTTTGAAGTGAGCCGCTTTTACATTTCCCGCGACTGAATACTGACTCTGGCCGACTGTAAAGTCACGTCTGGCTGTATTTTAGCTGTGAAGGTAATAATGACGCTGTGTGTGATGTGTGTGCAAAGACAGTGACATACTTTGGCAACACCGCTAACTTCGCTAAACATCTGAGATTAAGTCAAAATAATATGATGATGTTATAAAGCGGCGGTTCTGAGCAGAATATTTTATTAAAGAATATGACAGTAGTGTGATGTCTATCGTTACGCAGCTATTATTTTGAATTGGTAAGGCTACAGCCTGCCCCTTATTTCTCTCATAAGGGAGGTAACATTAAACTAGAAATAAAATATGTTAAAAAAATTGGTATCGGCAATACCAGCCTGGGTATTACTTGGTATTGGATCGTATAGGAATTAAGTGGTGTTGCACATCACTACATACTACTCTTTGTAACACCCTCACCACCATCTAACTCTACTTAACCTTACACCCTGTGTTACAACCTTGACATGCTAACACTGATAAACTTATTATAAATTGAAGTTACTGAACCAAAGTGATGAATAACGATCATCATCATTCCACTTTGTCCTTTCCCGTCACTGGTTCTCTCCCTTTCATTCCCCTCTTCTGTCCTGCTCTCACTGTGTCTGTAAAGCACTATTATTCTATGAACTTTCGGTTGATGCACGAGTGTCCTTTAATGACAAAAACCATCTGTTGGTCTGCTGGTTGAATCATTTTACGCATCATTAATCACGTGTAATTTATGTGTGTGTGTGTCACTATAAACATGAAACTTGTGTGCGTGTGTGTGTCTCACCTGTCCGTCCGCGCTGAATGCGAGGCAGGCGATGCCGTGTGTGTGTCCGTCACGGAGCAGAGAGACGGTCTGGACGGTGAAGGAGTCCCAAACACACACATAGGGATCCTTCCCCACCTGACCGGTCGCCACAAGGGAGCGCTCCGGGTGCAACGCCAGGCTGTCGGGGGAGGAGAGGAAGGTCAAAGAAGCAGACAGAGGAGTGGAGGGGGCGTAGAGAGGAGGGGGCGAGGTAGAGACAGAAGGTAGAGGGGGAGAAAAGGGAGGATAAAAAGCCAGAGATAACAGACTTCAATAAAAAAAATAAACATTTAACATCTCTTGCATTTGATTAGGTGAGGATTTCTGACCAATCAGAGGACTTCCTTCATTAACCCAAGTTACAAGTAAAAGTCCTGCATTCAAAGTACAAACATACCATCGGTACTTAAAGTATCAGAAGCACAAGTACTCTGAGTACTAAACTAAGTTTAGTCCAGTGGTTATCAACCTAGGGGTCAGGGCCCTCCAAAGGGTCACCAGATAAATCTTAGTGGTTGTGAGATGATTCACTGGAGAATATACTTTTTCTTTAGAATCTTTAATTTTCTTTTGTAAAATATTGGATCAATAGTTTTTGAGATGAAACTGATAACAACTCAGAGATGCAACTACACGCTGATTTAAGGGGTTTCGTATCGTATTTTATACGTTTATCAGTGGCATGTTTTTAACTTAGAAGTATTCAGATAATAAGTAAAAGCAATATTGCAAATTAAAAATACTACAGTGAGTAGTAATTTTAAAATACACTTATTTATAAACCTATGTTCTCTCCTTTTTTATCCCTCTCTCTTTATGAGAGTCAAATAGACTGCTATAAATACACTCACTGCTTAATGGCATCATTATCAACACACACACACACACACACACACACACACGCACACACACAGAGTGTCTCTGCTCTGTTGATCGGGTAATGATCCCTGATGCTAGAAATGTGTGTGTGACCTTGGCTTTTCTCTCTCTTACTTCAATCTGATATTTATTTATTTATTTAACAGGGACAATGCACAATATATGTACTGTACCAGATTTAGCTAAAAGCTAATTCCCATCTGCAGTCCCTGGGCAGGTGCCAATAGTGTGCAAAATATTACCAAAATAATAAAATATAACACTAATCCCAAAACCAAACCTTACATTTCATAAATATATAGATAAATGCCAACCAGTTCAAATAAGCCACATCTAACCAACTAAAAAACGACTCAAATATACCAAACCTCCCAAAACCATAATAAACATCGACAATCCAAATACAAAAATAAACTGTCATTACGAGAATTTTACCTTATCTATATTAACAGATGTAAATCTGTCCTTTTGTATTCCTACGTCTGGTGTTTGAGAGACAGAAACAGAAAGTAAAAGAGAAAAGTCACAGAAAAGTATACTGTGTGTGTGTGTGTGTGTGTGTGTGTGTGTGTTAGGAGTCAGGAAAGGTCAGTGTTGCTGGCAAAAGTGTGGAAAGAAACTGTGTGGAAAATAAAATAGAACAAAAATAGAACAGGTGTGTCAGCCACAAAGGCCCATTGATCTCAGGGATGCTGTCTACTCTGCACATGCACACACACACATGCACACACACATGCACACACACACACACACAGGCACACACACACACCCTTCGACATCGACTCTCCTCCTCAACCTGCCAGCCAATGAGCCTGCTAGCTGCAGTGGTTGCCATGACGATTACATCGCCAAGGGCACGGGAGCTGAGGATTGAGAACGACAACTGTGGAGTCAAGGTCAAACATCACGAAACACACAAGTGCACACACACACCTGAACACAAGCACACACACACGTGCGCGCTTCCTTTAGTGTGTATGTTTATTAAGCATCGCTGAACGATACAAGTTCATGTTTTTTTGTTTTTTTTCACGTGATGTTGTGTTTGTTTGGTGAAAATGAAATGATGTGTGTGTGTTTGTCCTCCACTCTGATGGCTTTCAGTGTCTCCATAAGTCACTCTCCCTCCTACACAGACATGACTTCCATCTTCACATTTATTTCTTTTTCCTGCAAACATTTTTCCTTCGACAGACAGTTAAACAAACCGTAAGGTCTGGTTTCTTGTTAGAGTTTGTTCTTGTTTTAGAATTAACAATATTCTTCATTCTTCTTCTCTATTGTGTATTTATCTGTTGATAAAGTTGTATTGAATTGAAAATATGTTTAAATAATATATATATATGTATTTGGAATATGTGGAATTGGTAATAAATGCATTCATGGATTTTGATAAATATCTATAATACAATCTAAAAGTAATACACAGGATAATGTGGCTGCATGAAAGATATAAAAACAAAAAATTGTACTGTTTATTTTTATTTAAAATGTTGTTTTATTACTGATAATACTGTATTTGTTTCCGTATGCTATGCTTGATTTTGAAGCGATTTTCCATCTTGTGGTTTAGAAGTAAAATTAATTTCACAGGCAGTAGAGCTGATTAGTTCTGCCAGCAGGCTTGTACTAAAAGCAGCCGTGGTGCTACTATGGCTCATGGTGGCGCTAAAGGGAAAGTCAGGGGATCATCCAAGTCATTAGGATACTTTAGGTGTGTTTGACTTAAAGCAGGACTTAACATAAGGAATACTGGTTAGAAATTGTGTCCGACTTTCGCCGGCCCTGCAGAACGTCACCATGTCACATGACATGCGGGAGCAAGGTGGCTGCAGGCGCTGAGTCCAGTGACCACAGTTGCTTTTCTAATGCTGCACAAAGTTGGAACGACCTTTTGACTAATCTCCCAGCATTTGTCTTTGCAAAAGCCGCGAGATCAGTCATTGTTCTAAGCTCATGGTAAGCTCAGGCAGGTTGAATGTACCTGACTTGACGGCACGTTTTTTTATACCCCGCCCCACCAGTTGCCTGCAGCTCAAGTTTGACTATCAAGTTGGCGAAAGTCAGCAGCAGTCATCTCCAACGCACCTATTGTCTGGGAACCAAGAATGACTATACTAAATTTAGTGCTCATCCAGACGTGCCTCCTCATGGGAGCGGGGGAGAGTTGTAAGTCGGGCACGAAGGGCAAAGAGACTATGTGAGGTGAAAGGCACAGGTGCAGGCAGGTGTTTAAGAAACAACAGCAAGTTAGTCACTGTGGTTTGTCTGCGATTTCCACCTCCTTCTCTGAGTCATGACTGATATGCATGATACCCATATTTACGTCAATAAATGTGCTTAAAATTCATAGAAAGTAGACGTTCCTTAGGACCTCAGAACTTCTGTATCAAAGCCAAAAAGGTACTGCTAACAGCTAAATCTGCATACTAATGCTGCCAATTTGCCAAAACAGATATAGACTACACACCTTTTCCTCCATTTTCGTCTATTGGTTTGATCCCGTTTGATTTCTTGTTCTACCTCTTGGTTCTCTATTCTCCTCCTTTTTGTTAACTCTACTCTCTGTCTTTCTAATCTTCTCCTTTCTGAGGCTGACAACTCATCCTTTTTTCTTCTCTTTTCCTCTTCACTTTTCTCGTTTCTCCTCTGATCTCCTCTCCTATAATCTCCTATTCTCTCGTCTCCTCTCCTCCCCTATTCTGATGTCTCCTCATCTATCCTGTCGTATCCTCTCCTATCCTCTATTCTCCTTTCCTATTCTGATGTCTCCTTTCCTATCCTGTCTTCTCCTCCCCTATTCTGATGTCTCCTCATCTATCCTGTCGTATCCTCTCCTATCCTCTATTCTCCTTTCCTATTCTGATGTCTCCTTTCCTATCCTGTCTTCTCCTCCCCTATCCTGTTGTCTCCTCTCCTATCCTCTCCTATTCTCCCCTATTCTGTCGTCTCCTCTCCTATCCTCTCCTATTCTGATGTCTCCTCTCCTAACCTGTCGTATCCTCTCCTATTCTCCCCTATTCTGTCGTCTCCTCCCCTACTCTGATGTCTCCTCTCCTAACCTGTCGTATCCTCTCCTATTCTGTTGTCTCCTATCCTATCCTCTCCTATTCTGTTGTCTCCTCTCCTATCCTCCTATCCCCTATCTTCTCCTCTCCCCTCATCCTCTCATCTCCTTTCCTCTCCTCCCCTTTCTCCTCTGTTGTTTCCTCCTCTCCTCTCCCCTCCCCTCCGCTAGCTATTTATAGAAGCTGCACTGATTTCAATAGGAGCTAATAATAGGCTGTGTGTGTGCCAACACAGTGTGGAGCAGTGATAATGTGATTTATAAATGATTAACCTGGAGAGAGAGGGAGGGAGAGATATTAGACCTTGGTGTGTATTAGCAGTGATCTGTTTAACATTAAGTAAGGTACAATGAAAAAGACATTACTTGAGGATTAAATAATAATTAGATATATTTATATTGGTAAATATGCAGAGTAGTGTCTGAATCATAAACTTTGTACCTCCAGAAATTTCTGAGAAAATTATAAACACTTTATCTGTATGGGTTACAGACCATCCCACCACAGACCTTCAATTAATGTTTAAAAAGGTTTCAAAAATAAAACTGTATTTTATTTTAGTGGTTCAGTGGCTTAAATTTAATCATTCCTGAGTTGCCATGCATCAAGATTGTATACAGAAATAAATGTTAAACTGTTTTTAAAACATGGTCAGTGAATTTATTCAGGGGTTTTGTGGAATCTACATATATCAACGTTTCCACATTACTACTGACAGACTTTACTTTTGAAAGGTGGCCGGTGTAGACGAGGCTGTAAAGGCTGCAACGTGCTTCTCGGGGCCGCAGGCAGGTGAATGTTTGTCCTTCAGACTTGGCCTCAAGTAACTCCAACAACCACAACGACTGTCACTACAACAGCCAGCAGCACTAACAAACCAAGCAGTATCCAACACCTTGAAAAAGACCCCACAGAGGTTAAAAGACTGGGATTTCATAGTAGCCAGTCAGCACTGAAGAAGCCTCTTGGATGAGTGGCGAAACATCTTCAAGTATCTTCAAGCAAGTCCAGTTGCCCTTGATTTTGACCCTAACTATGATCTGGACAACTGAGAATCTTCACACACATCTACATGTTTTTTCTTCTCCATTCAAATCTGACTCTCGACACTCAGATCCACATGATGTGATTATGATATCTTAGAGGTGTGCTCATCACCTCCTCTGTGACCTACAGATATCCATAACACCCTTTTCTGCAAAGGTTTGCAGAGTTGTGTACGTGTACCTTTGCAGAGTCATAATTCCAGTTTAAGACATTCTGTGGCACCATATCAACGCCACTCTACATCTGCTTTTGCTGCCGAAAATTTTTTGTCGGG